AAAAACTTTTGTGGTCTGCCCCCGGACAGTCGTTTCCGGCCGTGGCAGTAATGCCCCTCGCGGCGACGGCGCTCAAACGAAGGTGGATTACACCGGAAGGGAGCGGGGGCCGCTCCCCGCAAACAAATGACGGAGCTGAATCTTTAATCAGATAAGACAGTTTCATCCCCGACGGAGGCGATTATGACAGTACTGCAGAATGCAGTGTTACGGAAGTCACAGCTTGTTTTTGGTGCTGTGGCCGGAATACAGGAATTAACAAGTAAACGGCTTCAGAAAAAGTGCCGGGTACTGGCGGAGCGTGAAAACCCGTTTCGCATCATGGAGTTCACGAATTTTTTAAACTGTGGTCAGCATCATTTATTTGTGTTGCAAAAAGTGGAGGGAAATATCCCGCACACGGCGATGCCGGATGCGAAAGCGTTTGCAGGCGGAGTAATAACCGGAAAGCGGTTTATTGGTCTGATGGTTGTTGACCGCGTTGAGGAAAAAATCCTGGTTTATCAGTATGCACGCAGTAACTGGACAGACCGGAAATTTGAAGAACATATCCGAATCAGCTATGACAGCCCGGTTTATGCACTGAAGCATTTTACGAAGGTGAACATCTGGTTCTGGCAAAGGGAATTACATATCCTGTTGAACAAAACGAAGGGCAGATAAATCCGTGCGGGGCCAGACTGCCCCGCCAGCTCTGCGGCACAGTGATACTGAATGAGATACAGAGACAATGAGTAAAGAGGAAAACAATATCCGGTTTAACCCGGAGCACATGACGCGCGAAGATATGGTCAGAGAGCTTTTACTTCTCCGTTCGTCCCGGGATTTGACGACAGATATTTATTTTGAATATGTGGATGCCGGGCTACCCGAAACAACAGAACTCACTGCCGCAGACACTGAACGCCTGAAAGCAGGGTTGCCAGCCCATCATCTTCACTGGTTAGGTGGGGATGGTACGCCTCTGACGGTAAGGCGAATCAGTGACTTTGCCGATGTTGCGGATGATTTCAGTTGTCTGGCAGCGGCTATCGACCCTGAACTGGCAGAGCCACCGGAGGAAGGCATACCAATGGAAGAACTTAACGGGGCATTCTTCTGCTTCATTCAGGAAGAGGATAAATAACCACCTCACTGACCTGGTTTGGCTGAATGATATTATTACGCGCCATTTCTCGGAGGCGCTGCTGCAAAATGGCATCTGAATCGATCACAGTCTGGCATTCGAATCGATCATGATTTGGGCCAATCCGTGATCGAATAGAGCGGAATACGCACGCTGCCGCCCCGGGTGTGATGCGGTGGTGGGCCGGTTTCACCTGCCCACCGGTGAAGAATGTCAGCCGGTTCTTCTGGTCAGGGCTTCCGTGGCCAGTTCGATCAGCTTCCCTGTTTCCGCTTTTTTCTCGTATCGTTTGTAAGTCCGGAGGCTGATACCGAGTTCTTCCGCCGCCCGTTCCTGGTCCCAGCCCATTCCCCGCCGCCATAACCTTAACTCAAATCCTGACATTATCATTCCTTCATAAGTGCCATTCTGTCACTTTACGACTTAATTTTATCACCGAATTTAAGTATATCAAAAAGTGTCATTATGGCACTTTGCAAAAGTGGTAACGGCTGCCTTCGCAACAGAGAAACGTCCCCTTTCTGGTGTACCGACGTCCTGGTCTTCGTGCAGCGGAATGAAGCCGCGATTGTTCGGTTACTGACAATAAGCGCCCGGTTGAGTGGTGAAGGGATGATTGCGATGTGTCACCACGTCAGGGCGTGCTTTCATGGCGGAGTGTTCACATTGTTACCACTATCCGTCAGGGAAGATAACACCATGAGGGAGGCGGAATGGTTATCCGGTTATGTGCCGTCGTCCTGGTCTCTGTTCAGCGGAATGAAGCCGTGATAGTCCGGTTACTGACAATAAGCGCCCGGTTCAGTGGTAAGGGAATGGCTGCGGTGTGTTACTGCGTCAGAGCGTGTTTTCCTGGCTGACGGTTCATGTTGTTACCAGCATCCGTCAGAGAAGATAACACCATGAGGGAGCCGGAATGGTTATCCGGTTATGTGCCGTCGTCCTGGTCTTCGTTCAGTGGTAAGGGAATGGCTGCGGTGTGTTACCACGTCAGGGCGTGCTCTCCTGGCTGATGGTTCACATTGATACTGTACAGTCCGGTGTCACAGATAACACCATGAAACAGTATGGTTTACTACCCGGCGAACTGCATGACATGGTGTTAAGTGAGTAACAGAAAGGAATAGTGATTCACCGTAAGGCTTCAGGAACAGGTCTGCATATCTGACGCAGAAGATGATTTCTTCTGATTTCGAGATGATTTTCTCCTGGTGTTCTGATGCGTAGTGATGATCTCCTTGATTGCACGCTCACTGACCGTTATCTGGCAGGTTTCGAGAGCAGATTTTATGTCCTTAACGGAATAGCCTTTCCGTGTAGCCAGTTCCATGATTTGTGATTTCAGCCCTTCAAGAACATCCTTTCCGGTCAGGCGTGTTTCAGTCAGATCGGGTAACGCCTCAAGCTGCTTTTTTGCCTGTTCTATCTGCTCTTTAGTGTAGAAGTTTCTGGCGGCCATCTGTTTTTCCTCTGAATAGCGAACCGGGCACATTATATCAGGCAGGGTGCGAAGCCTCCAGTCGCCACACAGCCACATGGTGTAATGACAATGAAAGCCATGCGGGGCATAATAGACGAAAACCAGATACCAAAGACGGGACAGGATATGTTTTGTTGAACCGCCATCTTCGATGGCCGTTCAACAAAACCCCTGGTCAGGGCACAGCCCCGACACCCCAGACAGAAAAGACACGACACAACGATGGTCGATCACCGGAAAAGAGTGCGATGAGTAAGAGTGAAAAAAGAAACCGGACCGAACTGCTTCTGGGGATCCGTTGTCTGCCGGAGGAAAAGGCACTGATTAAAGAAAAGGCCGAACTTTCCGGTATGAGTGTGGGGGAATATCTTCGTCGTTGTGCTCTGGGACGCCGCATCGCGCCGCCCACGGATATTCGCATGATTAACGAGCTTTTACGCCTCGGTGGTCTGCAGAAACATCTCTACAATCAGATGCAATCTCATATGACACCGGAACTGAGTAAGCGGTTTTCGGAGGTGCTTGTTGCGCTGAAGAAAGCAGTTGTTGCCATCCATACCGGTGTTCATCATCAGGAGAAGTAAACGGCGTGATTGTGATTGTTCCGGAAAAAAGGCGCGATGGCCGGTCCAGCTTTCTGCAGCTGATCAGCTATCTGATTTGCCGGGTGGACAAGAAGCCCGGTGAATTGCTGTCGCCGGATAATCCTTATGTCCGTCCGGTCCGGTCGCGCGAAGCCATCGTGGAACATCTTGGTCAGTTTATTGAAGAGGGGATGGATTTATACCGGAATCATGTGCTGTCCCGGAGTGACGACGGGCGTCAGCAGGTGCTCTGTGGTGAGGTTCTGTGTGAAACAAACTGCTTCGGTATTGAAACGGCAGCTGCTGAAATGGATGCGGTTGCGTCGCAGAACCGGCGCTGTCAGGACCCGGTGTATCATGCGATCCTGTCGTGGCGTGAAGAAGATAATCCGACAAATGAGCAGATTTTTGAGTGCGCCAGATATGCACTGAAGGCGCTGAACATGAGCGATCACCAGTATGTTTTTGCCATTCACAGAGATACGGAACATGTGCACTGTCACATCACCGTGAACCGTATTAACCCGAAAACATACCGTGCGGCAAGCCTTTATGATGATTACTTCAGACTGCATAAAGCCTGTCGTGAACTGGAGCAGAAATACGGATTCACACCGGATAACGGTTGCTGTCAGAAAGACGAGAACGGGAACTGGATCAGAAAACAGGAAGAGTTTAAAGCCATCCCCCGTAAGGCCCGTCAGATGGAATACCATGCGGATAAGGAGAGTCTGTACAGCTACGCCGTGGGTGAGGCCCGCCACACCATCGGGAAGATACTGCACAGCGGGGAAGCCACCTGGGAGGCGCTGCACACTGAACTGATTCGCCTCGGTCTGGAGCTGAAGGAGAAGGGCGAAGGACTGGCGGTGTATTCCCGTCATGATGATACGGTCACG